AAAAAAGACCATCAGGCCTTGGCGCATTCTCGTATTCTTGATTTTTTACATAAACTTTACATTACCTATAATTGGAATTGCATTATTTGATGATTATTGGAGTTTTATGATCTGAACGATTTTCAATTATAACCTGACGATTTTATATGACCCTGATCTTATGATCTGCGATTTTTGACTCAACTTATTGGTCTGTGATTTGAAAAATGTCAATTTATGACCTGTATTTTCAAAATGGTATATGCAGTTATATTTGAAAAGAAACCCGAAAACCAGGACGATAACTGGACAAAAAAAGGTGAAAACAGGACGAATATTGATTATTCGAAATTCGAAAATATACAATCACAAATAAACTTCCCATCATTTTTGAAAACATACATTACAATAGAAAATAATTTTAAACCTGACGCTAAAAATTTATGGAAAAAACCGAATCAAGTACATAAATAAATAAATAATGTTCAATAATATAAAATTATTATTAAAATTAAAATAATGTAATTATTATTCACTTCTTGAATAGGAATATGTGGAGAATGTAGTAAACTAGGTAATGTTGGTGTCAACCTTGTAATGCTAAAAGTTTTAAGGAAATTTTAAGAATTGGACTAATGAAAATAAAAATGTTGATACAACAATCACAACTTATTGTTATAAATGCCTTGAATGGATACTTTTTACTTTTTGAAAAATTTAAAAATGTTACCTATATTATCAGAGGTCAAGAGTGAGACCGAATTTTAAATATAAAAGTTGACTTAAGAAGTTTAGATAATTCATTTAATAAAGTGATAATTTTTTGAATGAGGCAATTAAAATAATATTGCTTTTAATTTATATTTATGTATTGATACATATTTGTTAATAAATTTCTCCTTTATATATTATATTTCGGGTCCTTTTTTTTTGTTTAATATACCGTCGTATGTTATAGTATAACTCAGGATCAATATAAGAAATTTGCACATTTGGTATAATGATTAACGAACTATAATGATATTTCTCATGATCATATTTTGGATGTTTGAAATATGTAAAGGACTTGGACCATAAATTTCTGAAGATATGCCAAAATAGTGCCATTTCGCTGAAACCATTTTCCCGTATGGTCATTTTACCTAAAGGCATTTCGCCGAAGATATGGAATTTTTCAATTTTCCTTTTCTTTTTTTTTATGACAAACAAATTATTTACACGTTTATTTTATTAAAGGAAAATTAATTTTATTTAACAATTTCGTCGTACTTAACAATTTTCCGAAACATTTTTATCGAATTGTTAATGATTAAGGAATTATGTTAATCACTAACATTATCGGCGAAATGTCTTTCGACGAAATGAGGATTCGGCGAAATGCCTATTCGACGAAACGTCCATTCGACGAAATATTCTTTCGGCGAAACTTCCATTCGACGAAACGGCCTCGGTGAAATGGGCTTCAGTGAAATATACTTTGGAGAAACGTACTGTAACCATTAACTAATACATTTAAAAAATTATATATTTTATAAGTTTATTTATTTTTAATAGAACTCGTTCATCAACTTCAAGTAAGTACTGTATATACTCGCGTTATCAAAGATTATATCATTTATTAATAGTTTCTGAATGTCTGGGTTGCCATACTGATTATTCTGATTGAGAACTATTCAAAAAAATAAGAAATAAAAAATAATTAAGTTAATTAACGTAATTTCATATTTTCATATACATAAAAACAATTTCTTACCAAATTCACTTACTTGGATTTTTAAATTAGTATATTTTCAAATTTTTATTTTATATAAACTACTTCATTTTTTATAAATTTTTTTGGATTCTCAATATTTTATTATTATATTCCTTACAAAATACTTTAAAATATAAAAATTTAAAAAAAAAAATATTATACATTATAACGAACGAAGTTGTAAATCACATGACTTTATAAAATGAAATTTAAAATATAGGATAAAATATACGATCATATCATACTATTTTATTCTTTATTATTTGAGACGAAATTATTTGTTATATAAATAAAAATATATTTTTTAACCAAATTTAAAATTTAGTATTAATTTTTTTTTTTTTTTTGTTGCGATATCTATTTAAATTCTCAAATTTTCTATACTTAATATAGTATAAATCAATCACGATGATTTTTGGGGAATAACAGATAAATAAAATAATTCACGTGATTCAAGAACTTTAGAACATTCGATGATTTCATTTAATCGAAAAAACATTCTATATATAAAGTATATATATATAAATAAACGCAATAACTCCGATCATTATATTTCCTATTATATATAATTTTTTATGTCTATTTTCACATGGAAATAAAAGCCATCAAATCTATTCAATCGATTGATACGATCAGTTGATTGAATGAAAATATGAAAATCAAGTTTAAAATCTCGATTTCATTATTCAACCGAAAAAAGTGATGTTTTAAATCAATCACATCATTTATTTATATGTAAATACATATTTGTTTTTACTATATTCAGTTAAAAAAAAAAAAAAATTAAAAATTGATTTACAATCCCCAAACACAAGAAATAAAACTTTAGTTATAATCGAGGTATATACACTATACAGTATAGTAATATATACAGTACATTAAATAAAACTATCCTATTATTTAATTCTGTATGTAATGTAAAGCAATAAGTTCGTTAATAGGAAAAAAAAGAGACGCGATTATATCATGCTGCGTGAAAAATGCATTACAATGACATTCAATAAACAAACATTCATAGCACGAGATTAATATAAATATTTTATGGAAGTTTCATTATAATTCTATGTATTGACTAATTTTAGAAAAGATCGTTCTATTTGAATTCGGTATTTTATTGGTTTCTTCGTGTGAAACGTTGTTATTAAATATTCGTTTATCAATAAAAAATTATATACATACAAATAATATATATATATATATACACTTTTTATTTTTTTAAAAAAAAAATTAGATTCAGATAAAAATAATCTTAGATTCCATTTTTAATTTTATTTAACCAATTAAAAAACATTAAAGAAATATTATTAGCTTTTTGAAAAAAAAAAATCATCATTACGAAAGGATATTACTGCTCGCTATTATCGGTACATTACTTTAATAGGAAAATTTAAATAAAACAAAAAAGAAAAGAAAGAAAAAAAATAGATGACTTTGTTCTCATCTGAAACTTGTTTTAAAAAACCGAAACAAAACCTAATTATCGAACCAAATTCTTTTCCAATCATGAAATTTTATCTTAAACCAATTTAAGCGGAGTTTTAACCCAATTAAAAATTAATGGAACACAAAGAAATCCAATTTAAGGTTCATTATATATTCCGTTTACCGATATTTCAATAATATGTTATGCAAAATACATCATATTTTATGCAACCAGGATAAAATTTGCGTTTTAGAAAAAAAAAAATTCTTATTACAAAATATTTAAAACTTTTATAAAAAACTTTTCGAACTTTTCGTAAATTGGAATAACTGATCATTTTTTACTTTGTCAATCAACCTGATTTTAAAATGATTGTTTTTTTTTTATTTCCCATAAGATTTTCATTGTTTCTTATATTCCATAATCAGTAATAAATTAATTAAATTTTAAATTATTAATTTCATTCTTTTTTTCTTTAAAAAAATTAGTGAGATTTTTTTTTCTTTGGAGCGTGGTTAATTATAGAATATTATTAACAAAAAAAAAATAGTATCAAGCTATAAATAAACAAAAATGTTATTATAAATAAATTTTATTTATTTATTTTTTTTTTTTTTTGTTTATTCTTTACTTTGCAGCCAAAATTCAAAAAACCGCGCCAAAATATACATGTACATTTTTATATATCACAATCAATCTGAAACCATAAAAAGAAAATTGTAAACCATAAAAAAATCAAAAAATCAAAAAAAATCGATTGTTGCCCAAAAAAATTTTCTTTTTAAATTTTTTTTGCATAAATGGAGAAGGGAAAGTATAACAAAATAAAGTTCCGGTTCATTGTTTATTGTAAAAAAAAATTTAATGGCATCATATATCATCATATGCTCTTGACTCTTTAATCAGAAGTAATTTTACCTTTTATAATGGTCTTATTATGATCTTATTGTTTCATTATTCTTTTCCTTCATTTTGATTTTATTAAAGTTTAATAAAATGGTTTTGTTCGTGCTCATTCCCTTTTTCCTTATTGAACGCCAAATCTGATAATCGAAAAATTCAAATTATCACCTTTGCATTCGGTTTATAACTGTATGCCCCCCTTGTATTGTATAATTATTTACAGTATATGCATTGGTGTGACAAATACGACAATACATTTATCAAATATGGATTTTTTATATAAAAAACTTTTTTATAAAAATAACCAACCCTCTTATAACCAAAATAAACATAATAAACATCCCATCTTAGTATAACTGCATTCAATCAGATAATTTCTGTACATTATCACACTTGGATACATAACGTCAATAAATAATGATTTTTTTTTTTTTTTTTATTCGGATATTTATTTAACGATAAAAAAGATTTTGAAATCAACTTGAAATAATATAATATGTACACTTGACAGTATTGCCAGTTTTGAAATGGTCAACTTTTTTTTGTACCACGAAAAAATCGGCGGCCCGAAACAACAATCTCACTTTTCCGTGCCGTCCGGTATTTTACATTTATATATACAACGCATATATTAAAAAAAAACAAAAAAAAAAAAAATTTTTTTTTTTTTTTTTTTTTTTCC